TGAGGGGATTAAACAAGAGAAATTAAAAAAGAAATGTGTGAAATCGGTGGTGTAATTCATCACCTTTAGATTGATTTGTATGCCAAGGCAATAATGTCAGAAATACACTCACCTAAAGGATTATTAGGAACACCATACTAATACTGTGTTTGACCCCCTTTCGCCTTCAGAACTGCCTTAATTCTACGTGGCATTGATTCAACAAGGTGCTGAAAGCATTCTTTAGAAATGTTGGCCCATATTGATAGGATAGCATCTTGCAGTTGATGGAGATTTGTGGGATGCACATCCAGAGCACGAAGCTCCTGTTCCATTGGGTTGAGATCTGGTGACTGTGGGGGCCATTTTAGTACAGTGAACTCATTGTCATGTTCAAGAAACCAATGAAATGATTCGAGCTTTGTGACATGGTGCATTATCCTGCTGGAAGTAGCCATCAGAGGAAGGGTACATGGTGGCCATAAAGGGATGGACATGGTCAGAAACAATGCTCAGGTAGGCCGTGGCATTTAAACGATGCCCAATTGGCACTAAGGGGCCTAAAGTGTGCCAAGAAAACATCCCCCACACCATTACACCACCACCACCAGCCTGCACAGTGGTAACAAGCCATGATGGATCCATGTTCTCATTCTGTTTACGCCAAATTCTGACTCTACCATCTGAATGTCTCAACAGAAATCGAGACTCATTAGACCAGGCAACATTTTTCCAGTCTTCAACTGTCCAATTTTGGTGAGCTCTTGCAAATTGTAGCCTCTTTTTCCTATTTGTAGTGGAGATGAGTGGTACCCGGTGGGGTCTTCTGCTGTTGTAGCCCATCCGCCTCAAGGTTGTAGGTGTTGTGGCTTCACAAATGCTTTTTTTGCATACCTCGGTTGTAACGAGTGGTTATTTCAGTCAAAGTTGCTCTTCTATCAGCTTGAATCAGTCGGCCCATTCTCCTCTGACCTCTAGCATCAACAAGGCATTTTCGCCCACAGGACTGCCGCATACTGGATGTTTTTCCCTTTTCACACCATTCTTTGTAAACCCTAGAAATGGTCGTGCGTGAAAATCCCAGTAACTGAGCAGATTGTGAAATACTCAGACCGGCCCGTCTGGCACCAACAACCTCCATGCCACCCTCAAAATTGCTTAAATCACCTTTCTTTCCCATTCTGACATTCAATTTGGAGTTCAGGAGATTGTCTTGACCAGGACCACACCCCTAAATGCATTGAAGCAACTGCCATGTGATTGGTTGATTAGATAATTGCATTAATGAGAAATTGAACAGATGTTCCTAATAGTCCTTTAGGTGAGTGCTGAGAATAAAATACAAAAAAAATAATACAATACCTGCCAATATTTTGAGAAAAATTTAATCTGCCATAACATGCCATTTGGCCATATATATATATATATATATATATATATATATATATGAATATTCAGCATCATTACTCCAGTCGTCAATGTCACATGATCTTTCAGAAATCACTCTAATATGCTGATTTGATGCTCAAAAAATATTTCTTAATATTAATCAATGTTGAAAACAGTTTTGCTTTTTTTGTGGAAATTATGGTAGTTTTGCCCACAGGATACTTTGATGAAAAGAAAGTTAAAATGAAAAGCATTTATTTGAAATGGAATTTATTTTATTATTGACCAATCAGTTGACTGGTAGTGTATATTGGATTGTATTAAAGTGGAATTATTTAGCGCAGGTCATTGTGTCACTTGCTGCATTGGTCATTGTCTCTCAATTACATTTTCCATTTGAGGTAAGTCATTTGAAGACGTGCGAGTCTTCGATTTGAATTTACATCAGCAAGGTTCAGAGTATAATTAGTAGAATTCAATGTAAGCCATGTTTTGAACAAGCTTCAGTCAACAGCTGAAGGGCATGAGTCGACTTGACCCTGATATGAATCAGACCTAATCCTGTTTGAGTGTGAACACAATGTTTGAAGTGAATTCAGATTTCCTAAAAGCCTGTTAGTTGTGCTCAGACTGAAAGTGAAAGAGGATTAAAATGGATTAACAGCTCCTAATAAAATTACAGGCCAACTGGCGAGATCCTCCATTTTAGATGCTCACAAAAGCCAATTTTTACTTCTATATGGTGCTTGTTGAGTGTTCATTTTGGACCTTGCATGTGCTTCAAGTCAAAGACAAAACCCGGTCTACCTAAAACTGCAAATAAGAGGCCACTTTTACAAAGGACATTACCTCTGCTAGAGCGACACTTACAGATATATGCTGCGTCCCAATTCGCATACTATCCGTCCTAAATAGTATTCGAAAATAGAATTAGTACGTCCCAAATCGTAGTATGTTGAAATGAGTGTCCCAAAGAGACCCGGATGGTCTACTATATCCGGTCAGAATCCGAAGTGCAGATCGATGCGCACTCTAACGGCTGATATTGCCCACAACCCATCGCGCGCTGGATGAGGATTCGGTTAGAACTACAAACACGAGTGAAAAGTGTTCAAAAACTACAGACATGGAGGACGCGCGAGTCCGACGGTTATGAGTTTTAGATAAAGGGGTTTGAGTGATTAATTAACAGTATCTAACCTGACGAAAATGTATTTATTCAATGTTGTCCACATTATATTGCATCTGCAGCAGCACCCACGACTGGCAGATGAACGTGCCACAACATTTCTCTCCGAAATCGGCGAAATGGTAAGAAGTTATATAAGATTGAATGGAGGATTTTAACTGTGACGAGATGATTGACATGCAGGGCAGTTTACGGTGATAGGATGCACGCGACAGATCTGTCCGTTAAAGATGACGAAGTAGTATGTCCCAAAGCTTGCCTACTCTTTTGCTACACACTCAAAAGTATGTACTTTTTCTTCACAAAAAGAGTACATACTTTTAGGGCGTAGTATAAGTAGGCGAATTGGGACGCAGCAATAGTAACAATCTATCTCCATGTGTCAGTTCCCAGCACTCCACAAACCACACCCACTTCACACTGTTATTTCCTGTCTAGGGCTCCACACCAGTCAACAAGAACAACATACATCAATATCACTCTCCTCAATCATCTCCACCCCTCCTCCACCCACCTTTTCTCCCTCTTCCTATCCCTGACAACTACAAAAATCATTTAATTCCCATGGGCACTTCTGACCTCATTCATTCATCTCGCTCACACACACACACACACACACACACACACACACACACCTTTTGAAAAGACAGCCGTTTTGCTTGTAGCGATTACACAGCGTACTCTCCTTCATTCTTTGAACTCCTTTCACGCACTAGTCTCCTTTTCTTCTCTCTCAGTCCTTTTTCATCTATCTTCCCTCTTTTGTCTTCAAGGGATGCCCAGCAGTGATGATGACTGACAGCCTAACAAGCCCTAAGCCACATAAGAGGGAGAGACAACGAACAAGATTTAGCTAAAATCGAGATTGCTCTCTGGTGGGTAGACTACGGTATTACACCTTCATATAACTGTTGATATATCCGTGGTTACTTCAGATGGCCAGCGTGGCTGACAGTATTCTAGAGTTTAAACCAACAAATGACATTTACTCGCTGCACTGCCATTTTCTAGCAGTGTGGCTGTTATTAATGTTCAGTCCTGCAGATGAGCACTATATTACAAACTCGAGCTGCACTCAAAGTTATTATGGGATGTTTAGTCATGCCGGTCATGGTCATAATTCTGGCTCCACTTCATATTTCATTAATATTCAAACCATACAACCCACTGATGAGTTTGGATTCAGTATTAGGCAGTATCAGAAATTAACCAGATATTAACCTGTGGTGCAAAAAAAGCCAAAGATATTTAAATATGGAGGCACAAATGCCCGTGGTTTTTTCTTACACTGCCCTTCTAAGGTTTGGTTCAGAAAGATTTTTTTTTGTAAATGTTTTTGAAATGTCTTATTTGATCAAAAATACAGTAAAATGTAAAAAAATATTTTAAATAAATGTAATGGGCCAAATATTATCTGATAACATAAAAAAATAATTATGGCATTGGTATAAACATGAACATAAACAAGTCCTATACATTAATAATATTTCATGCAATTGTGTGAAATAACAATGAACAATACTTTTACAGCATTTGCTAATCTAGGTCATTTTCATTTCTACATACACCTAAAAAACAAACAAATTTGAATGATATAAATTAACATTAGTTGATGTATTATGAACAAACATGAATAAATAAACAATCTAGATTTTAAAAAAATATTGTTCATTGTTAGTTACCTTATTAAACCAATTAAACCTCATTGTAAAGTCACACCATTAAAATAGTTTTGCACAGGTAAAAGACTTGTGTACAGGACAGGTATAGTCACACATTTGCACACTTGAAAAACAATCAGTTCAAAGGTTGAGGCAGACACTCTTTTAATTAGACACTCTTTTAATTATTAAGTTTCTGTGGGTTTGTCTTTTTAAAATACATCGAGTGAGATCACCACTATCAAAAACTTTGAAGTGTGAGAAAAACGTGTTTAGTACTCTCAGCGTTTTGAATACTATGACATGTGGCACAGATCTGTGAAACACTCTGTATGGCACACAAGGATTCGCAATAGTACACCTGTACACTTACAGTGGCACAAACAGGAGGGGAAACTCTAAAATTAAGACTTTATATTTGGTACAGATAAGACTATATTTATATTCAAGGAAGTAGCATCCCAGATCATGACATTTCAAGAATACTAAATGATTGTGTGAAAGAGCCAGCCCTGTTGACATGATTCCTAATCAGAAACAGAGGTGACGGATACCTTATTGTGTGCGCATCTATCAGACTGTGAGAACAACTGTGCTACACTGTCAATATGTGTTCAGAGTTGAACAAATAGAGCTGGGCTCTTACACTCATTAAATACTATACCATAGAATACATTGTCATGCAGGAGGGCAGAATCTATGAATATGGTACAGGAAAATTCAAATTCACTGTGAATGAAAGCATCTTGCTTGTTGACATTTGTAGGGGTGATTTTTCCCCCCAAAAAAATTGGTTAAATAATTTTTTGGATGAAAGGATGAAGAGTAACAGATTTTGGGGTCTATCCTGCCTTGTGTCTATGACATTTAAAACAGTCTTTTTGGAGGGCAGGAGGAATATTGGACTATTTGGACAAAGTGGTCAGGCAATTATGGGTATGAGAAAGGAGAAAGTGTAATAACCAAGTAAAATGGAAGGGTTCTGGCTGTTAGGGGAGAGAGTTTGTGAATATTCGAGTATAATGTCTGCAGTGGAGATGCTATAGTTGGGGGATTGGGGGCAAGTTAAGGGAGTCCAGGGCGCTGTGGTAAAGTTCTCTTAATGCTCTCAGCAACAATAAACGACAAAACATTTGATTAAAAAGATGAGGCAGGGGCTCCTAAAGAGAGGGGAGAAAGAGAAAGAGGAGGAGCAGAAAGTTAATGGCCTGAACTTTATGTGAACTTGTTTAATTACATTAATCATTGTAAATGCTGATACACACACACAAATATACAAAATACAGACTTAAAGGCCCATTCACACCAAGAACAAAAGCTATAAAGATAACTATATTAACGTCTACATCAATGCACAATATCATTCGGTTTTTTATAAGCACGTGGTGCAGTTTTGTCATCTGCCGCTTTAAATGCTTGAGCGCTTTAAAGCAGAATGGATTCTGATTGGCTGTTCTTTTTATCGTTCATTACCTGGAGAAAAAAAAAAATCATTCCGAAAGTGATTTCACCTATATAGAAATAGAAACTATGTTCTGTGTCGTTATCATTATAGGAATAGGACTCTGCTATTCTTTTACATTTAGAACATTTTTTACAATTATTTCTTTATCGTTAGATATTGGTGTGAAAAGGACTTAAATCATATAATCACCTGGGCCATAAAAAGAGTGTAACGGAATCTGAATTATCCTTAGATAAATAAATACTGATTGAAATTAAACTGATTCACAAACAACCAAACAGACCCAATAATATCTTACCCCAAGGACGTGAACTCTGTTGTAGTAAGAACTAAAATCTTTACTGAGAGACACCAAGAATCTGCACACCTGAAGGACAAACAAAACAATTATGGAAGGCTGTATTAAGCCAGGACACAGATAGAATATGACATATGACTGGTTGAGATTAAGACTAAATTATACTAATAAAGGAAATAAATTTACATTACAAAACGATCCGAGCAATGAAACATTATAAGTACCTGTTCTGTTCTTAAATTAACTCTAGCTCCGCCCCCTTCATGCTCCAGGACCTGTCCTGATTGGTCCAGCAGCTCAGAGAATGGAATGAGGTAATTGAAGAGAAGAAGCCACTCCCCCTAATAATGAAATGGCAACATTACCATCATATCAACAACTTTCTATGCCACCAGATCATAGAAACACAAACACAGAGCTTGTTTGAATACATTTGGTATGTCTTTATACATAGCAACTTGAATACTTAAGGGGGCTTTTACACTGGGCTCGTTTGCTGGGGTCTGAGCCCGAGAGCGTTTGTTCCAGGCGCCCCCCGGGCCCCGCAGCGTTGGTCTAGTTCAGTGTTTCTCAACCTCTCCTGCAGGGACCCCCTGACAGGCCATGTTTTTGTTTTAACTCTGAAATGGCACACCTGATTCAAGTAATTAAAGGCTTAATGAGTAATTAGAGTAGGAATAGTTCAATTAATCAATTAGTCAACTACTCATTAAGCCTTTAATGACTTGAATCAGGTGTGCCATTTCAGGGTTAAAACAGAAACATGGCCTGTCAGGGGGTCCCTGCAGGAGAGGTTGAGAAACACTGGTCTAGTTTCACACTCAACTTGATTCTATCGGACCCTGGTGCGTTTGCGTGCATTACGTCATCGCAAACGTGCACGGCGCATGATAGAAAACAGAACGCGGGTCAATATCGGTCTTTGTCAGGTGACGTCACACTCGTGATACACGAAGTGCATTATGGGGCGTAGCCGCCATTTGTAAGGTATCGATGCAGGGGTATTCTGTTGTTGGAGAATTGTGTTTTTCATTATTTTTTAAAACTAAACCATCCTTAACATGACATTATCATCATCATCAATACAGCAAACCTATCTTTGCTGTTACTACTGTGTCCTTCGGTGGGAATGTAAATAAATCCTGTACTCAGCCGTTGGTAAAATGTCCGTGGGTTTTAAGAGATTTATAGTTTTTAAATTGTTCACTGGTATATGCGCTTATACCATAAACAAGATAGTTGACAATATCCCAGTATGAGGATGAGAAAGCAATGCGGGATCAGCACTCCAATTTACTGCAGTCAGCTCATATGGATCTATGTTCTGAATGGATGACAATTTCTCCAAATAACGGTACCTGCCATATTTATTGAGGTACCGCATTTCCTCGGTTTTCTTGTGCTTCTTCAGTTTTGCGAGTTATTTACTTGTTATCTCTACTCTTGTAATCTCTTCAATGCTCACAGTCAGTAGCGATACCTCAAAAATGGCGCCTGCGGTGACGTCACACACAACAAACCCACGTGTCTGACAAAGACCGATTGTGTTTTTTATTAATTCGCTGCTATTATGCGCAGTTGAGTGAACAATACAGGTTTACTGTGCGTGTGTCACATACGGTGGCCTTCTGCTGCTTGCAAACGGACTCTTTTGAGAAGACAGTGGATTTCAAAATTTGTTGCCCTGATTCCACGCGCTATGCGCGAATACACTGCAGGCTCGCTCTCGCTCGTATCCAAGGTAAATCATCAACATCAACACTATTATCCCTCCTTACAAGTGTTTTATTTAACTGAATACATCACAATAAGCTAAAACGCATGCGCAGGTTACTTTACATCCTGAACAAGTGCGCACCCGAGTCCGTGTTGCTTTCACATTCACGCGAACCGCGGCAGTAGGAAGTCTCGGGTTCGGTACCCCAATGCGCACCCAGGTCCCCATGACAGCGTTCACATTAGCGATTTTTCATGCGAACCGTGCCCCGTTCCGAACTAAACTGTGTGAAAGCCCCCTAAAATATGACCATGTTTGAGTGTGCTTGTACAGAATTGTTAGTTACATAATGCTTTACCTCCTCTTTCAGGGCAGAAAAGTCCAGCTCTGTGCCTCCAGGGATTTCTGGATAAAGACCTACATATTTCAAAATTAACATGGATATTATTCACAAATAGACACAATATTTTTTGTTACATTACTACTAACGTGCAATTAATCAAAAGACCCAATGGAGAAAGATGGGAATGGATTTCTCTACTTCAGTCAAATCACAAAATTGTACACATCACAACCAATCAGAATTCGGTCACACTTTAGATTAGGGTCCAATTCACAATATTAACTACAACGTTTGCCTCAAACTAATTAATAGTTAGTAAGTAAGGTAGTAGTTAAGTTTAGGTATTGGGGTAGGATTAAGAGATGTAGAATATGGTCATGCAGAATAAGGCATTAGTATGTGCTTTAAAAGTACTAATAAACAGCCAATATCCTAGTAATAAGCATGCTCCTTAGAAACTAGTTAATAAGGAGAATTGGACCCTAAACTAAAGTGTTACCTAGAATTCTGCACCTCTGTTGCCAGACTATATTATTGCCTATCGTTGTTATATTCTGTACATTTCATCTACATTTTGTCTATAGTTATAGACCACATGTATCATCTTTCGCTGCTTTTCTCTTACCTTAGTTTTAGAACAGTAACTAGCAGTAAAAAAATACCATTTGGCTAATAAAGTTTGGACTTTAAACATGTATACAACAGAAGATTGTTAAGATTTGGGTGTAGTCATACTGCATACGCTTTAAAAAACAACCTCTCCAAGTTACTATCTTGACATTATTACTTTGATCATAAATCACAAGTCAAAACACTACAGTGTGTGTGTTACCTTGCTCCACCCCTTTCTCGTAGCTGCTGAAGAGTGTATGAAGACGAGCACAGTTATACATGACAAAGACTCCACCCCTAGGGCCCTTTGTGGACACACCACTGTCCCGCTGCACATCTAAGGTCACCTAAAAAAGATATGTCAATCATCCCTGATGCAGGACAATATATTCCACGCATGCACATACAAACATACTCACTGGACTAGTGTGTACTGTGGATAGCAGTTCAAACCTCACGGTGGCCGAGGTCATGACTCTAATGATGTCATCCCATGTCTGACCTAAAATAGTTTAAGGAAGAAGTAAATCGTTATCAAGCACACAGACGCAGTTTAAATCTGGTATTAACATGCATCACAAACATTTATTTAGCTACTACATGCACTAAAGTGGCTTTTTAAGATAAAAAGGTAAGCACAGATAAACACACCTTCAACTTGGTCTCCATACTTCATTTCTGAGGCTTCTTTCATTTGAGCTTTTCTTAACCTACAGCAGTACACAAACAAACACTGTAATTATCAGACTTAGACAGTAGTCTTTTTAATATAGAATTACAAAGAGCTGTTGTAGAGTTGCTGTTCTAAAGTTTTCCCTTACTGAAGATACTGAGCTGCATTCATCTGAACGCCGGGAGTTTTAACTGGACCACAAATCACTAATCTCTAATAGAGAGGGAGAGAGCAATCATTCAATTAAATAATTCTCCAACAGAGATGGTCTAAAATGTAGTCACATCCAACTGTGCATCGTTTGAGCTAGAAATTGTGCAAAAAACTGTAAAATAATTCACTTTAAACAAATATACAAACTTAAAATGAAGTCTTAGTCTTCCAGGAAGGGGAGCATAAATATTGATCAGACTTTTATCCAATCAAATGCTCTTTAAATGAGCTTGATCCTCACCAAAATTCCAACTGCAATCAATTAGGTAGTAGCAAATCATGGTTTTTAGCTGTGATGTAACGAATACAGAGTCCAACACATGACATGCGGAGAAAAATATATATACCGTGGCCACAAACTAAGAATTTCATTCCCATGAATTAAGAATTCGTTCCCTCGTTTTAGTACATTTAGTAACTAATTCGTTCCCTCGTTTTGTTTAAACTAAAACAAGGGAACAAATTACAACATGGCCATGATTTAGTCAAATAAGGGGGAACAAATTCTTCTGGTGGCCACAATTTACTAATTCATTCCCTCATTTGTGTAATTCGTTCCTTTGTTTTAGTAAATCGTCAAACAGACGGAGCGTGTAGAATAGAACACACATTTTTACACAACAACTTTGTGTTTTTGTTTATTATAATTTTTTATTTAGTCATTTAATTTCTGCTCTAAAAATAGTAAGCAATCAGCTGTTTTTTGGTTTAGACTGCAATGTTTGTATTTTAACCCTTTTTTCTTATAATGTACAGCTTAGCCTACATAGATACATTCACAATATTTGATTTCATGTTACACATTGTTTGGAGGACAGCATTGGGCACGATGTGGAATAACATTGTTTAAAATAATGGATTAAAATGAACTTTTAATGTATAATAATTTCTAGATATTTTATTCGATTTATCGGAAAAATATTTGACAGATTAATCGATTATCAAAATAACCATTAGTTGCAGCCCTAGTGGCCACTATATATATTTTTTCCCGCATGTCATGTGCGGGGCTCTGTACTAAAACCTATTTGGGGGGGGAATTAAACGAGTGTTTCGATATGTCCCAAACAATCTTCCTGTTACAGGACAGAATATACAGAAAACAATTGTTTAGCATGTAAAGCATGCTGATACAGCTGATGGGCAAATGTGTCTGTGTGAGCAGAGTGTGAAACCTGCACTGCCGTTACACCCGTTGCTCTCCACAGCATGGCTGTTTGCTGCTGACGAAACTCATCCTGACAGGAAGTGACATGCAGGGCTGTTGTCGTAGACACCTGAAGTACAGAAATCCATTATAAGTGTCCATCTAAAACATGGTATACTATAATTTAAAGCAGATGGAGATGAGCCAGACAGAGGGTTCTTTTAACTCACAGGGAAATCTGCAGTAGCGCTGTCCAGCTGGGCCAGATGACACAAAGCTTCTCTCTGCACTGAAAAGAGAGAAATCACTGACTGAGGAAAGCGGAGGCTATCCAACAGATCAGTCACTTAGACACTAGGAATGACTCAGTTCATCTCATCTTGATGCCTCTGGTGCAACTAGTTTGAAAACATAACTTAAAAGCCAGTAACTATATATTCTTATGTAATTTCCATATATTTTAAGTAGGGCTGTCAAATGATTAATCACGATTAATCACATCCAAAATAAAAGTTTTTTTTTTACATAATATATGTGGGTGCACTGTGTATAATTATTTTGTATATATATAAATACACACACATGCATGTATATTTAAGAAAAAAATATTATTTATATATAAAATACTTATATTTATATATAATATAATTTATATATAAATCTATATACAGTATATACATGAAAATATTTCTTAAATATATACAAGCATGTATCCAAAATAAAAGTTTTTTTACATAATATATGTGGGTGCACTGTGTATAATTATTTTATATATATAAATACACACACATGCTTGTATATATTTAAGAAATATTTTAAATATATAAAAAATAAATATAAAATATAAAAAAAATATTTTATATTAAAGCATCACAACATATAATTTTTTTTTTAAATCAATACTTATTTTGAGATTTGCTAAAAATTACATTTACCACTACCAGTGTTATTGAATCAAATTTAAGTGAGTGTTAAGATGATTGCAGGAATAGCCTAATCTAAAAGTAAAAATAGAGGAAATAATATGCACAATTAAATAACCAATATCGACTAATGGTGATAAAATAAAAAAGCTTCAATATCACACGATAACCAACCAATATTGCTTAATGCTTGTAAAAGAAAATTAAATAGAAAATATCTCTTTAAAAAAAATCAGTTTTAGCAATTGATGTATTGGCCAGTGACAGGGCTAAAATAACAGTAAAAAATAAAATACAATACAATTAAAATCTCAACATCAAATATCCTCATGCAACCCTAATAATGACATTTACTGACAAAACAGACACAGATCTTGTATCTAAGCCAAATCATGAGAAATGTAACCCGTTATAGCCTTAATAAACACACACACATGCTCAGGTACTACAGCTCACCTGTGCAAGTGCCAAGACTGGGATCATAACCCTGAAGATTCTCGTCCTGTACCACTTGTTTAAGGTTTATCCTAACTTCCTCTTTTATCCCTCTCTTCTCTCCCTCTATTTCCTCTCCCCTACTTCTCCTCTTTCCCCTCTCCATTTCTCTGTCTCTGTAGGTCGAGTTCTCTAAAGCTTTTTTCATCTTCTCCTCCCTGTCCTCGTTGGTCCAGCTGACAGGGACTGTCGGCCAATCAATGCCTAGTGTTTTCAGGAAGTTCACAATGTCACTCTCCTGTGGCAAGGCTGGACAAAAGGACACAGTGTACCTAAATGGAATAAAGAAAGAGTTGATTACTCTCCCCTTTTGGTCAAATGTATGCCAAGATAATGAAAGTCAAAGCACATACCCTTGTCTTCTGAGCTGTGCCCCGAGGTGGTCAGCAATGAGAACAGTTCGTAGGTGCCCCAGAGCTAGTGTATCGGGAGATGGCACGGCTTGTTTGGTGTGGAGGGCAGGGCAGTTGATGAGGACACAGCCCTGTCTCTGAGCAGCAGGTCTCAGATATGGCATTATTCCACATAAGACACGTCTGAATGCTGTGCAGCGATCCACACACACACGCAGCCCTTCTGCTGTCACCTCAGTGGCTCCTATCGGCAATACACCACTGCCACGAAGAGAGCAAATACCACTGAGAACATCACAGGGAACCTGGACAATAAATCAAAACTTTTGTTGAAAATGGTTAGGTGATTCGAAAAATGCACAAAACCAACATGAATGCAAAGATTATAACATCACCATGAAATCAAAATTGACAAATCTTTTTCTTTTTTTTACGGAAGGGTTCATTATAAATGACTTATCTGCACAAATCATTATTTTTTTTAAAATATAATATCTTTAATCTTCAATCAAAAACATTTACGTCCAAAAATGTCTTACATTTTGACCGCCTTAAACTCATTGAATTATTCACACTACATAAACCAAACAATGTTTCTTGAGACCAAATGACCTAAAGAATCAGGAAGTCATGACTTTGCGATTCTCCAAATGCGTGTTATTTTTATTATTGGCATACCCTGACCCAGATGTCACGGGCAGTGAAGAGTTAATCATTTCTGCCGCAGGGTTCAAATGTTTTGTCGATGCGACCAATGTCAACAGTCTAGCTGGCGCCCTGCGTGTCTATACAGAGCTCGGGCATACATTCTGACAATTCTCTGTCAGTCACTCTCTCTGATGCATAACTACACGTCCAAGCAAAAGCTTGATACATCCAACACGGTGCCTCAAGCCATGCGTAAAATCCCCATGCGGAGAAGCGCATCTGTCACTGATGCAGGCCAGAAGAGCTCATAACGTAGAAAATAAATAAACGCACATATAAGCACATATTTCAGACTGACCTCTCCACCCGCGTACAACGTCGTCAGAACCGTGTTAGGTGACAAGAAGTCGCGATTTCTGAGGTTTTTGGCGCTGCTCTCCTTAAACCATAGCTTCTCTCGCTCGCGGATGATTTCGGCTTCATTTTCAGCATCTCCCCGCAACGCGCCGCTCAGCGCTTTGACAGTGGACACGATGCTAAAAGGCACTGCTTCCTCCATGATTAGGCTCAATATGTTGACATTGTTATTAGTGCCTGAACTCGCGGATTGTTACTGAGACTGACTGTAGCAGCACTGCGGTGCTCTGCTCACATTGATCACCAATAAAAACAGATGTATGTATAGGTACCGGAACATTAAGAAATGTCGCTGGTAAGAGGGGGACACATTTTCATGCAACACTAGTTCCCGGTTGCGGTTGCGACCGTTGCGACCTTTTGAAAGGCGCCATTTTGGGTGTGGCAAAATCAGATCTGTCAGTGACAGAAAAGAAAGTAAAACTGCTCTTCTGATATAATGCGTTTTGTTCATTCGCTGTAGTTTTATTTTCAATAATATAAACTACACCTTTAGATATTCCAGGGGTTACTTTCCTTCTTATCCTTTTTACATATCAATGTAGGCTATACTTCACCCAAAAATACAAATTATCATTCTTTTTTTTTTTTCTTTAAAAAAAAGAAGACCAATATGACTTCATTTATTGCACTATATTATAAGACATTTTATAGCTTTCGGTGAAGAGAAGCATTTATGTCGTTAATATATTCACTAGGCCTACAAATCTTGCTTTATGCTGATGTATGGTCACCATTTATTCATTTTATGGAAAACAGCAGCTTGGACATTCTATAAATTTCTCTTTCTCTTTCACTGAGTAAATGACAGTGAGTGAATGATAAGAGAATATTCTAGTTTTAGGGCGGTGACATATTCCTTTAAGACTTTTTCTCTAACAATATAAGCAAAGCTTTTACTCTATTTAATGTTTCAATAGACTGCATCCGGAATATTGTTTCCAGTATAAACAGTTTTAGCATCAACAAAAGTTTAACAATTGACTTCTGATGGATTACTCAAATATTTCCTTAATGTAATAGTGATAAAACAATATTTGTAAAGGGTTTATAGGAATCTTTAGAAAAATATATCAAAATGAGATCTGGTCACACTTCATACCAAGGCATATTTTAATGCTGGTTGTTTGGATGTTTATTTGAGTACTTCCTCTTCGTTTGTGGCAGGTAGCAATTACCTGAGCTGAACTTGGGCCAACATATATCACTTGTTGCTTTACAGTAAAATTTGGATTTCAACTAAAACAGCAACACTGATTCAAATATTTTACTTTGTATCCTCTGGCCAGAGTAAAATCTACAAACCAGCTCAGTCAGCTTTTGAAAATAGGCTACACACCTCTGTCATTAATGTCTATAACACCATGTAAATCTAAAGAATTATTCAGGCCTAAAAATGAAAAAGTCATCAAGTGATGTTATTACAAATGTTCTTAATTTATTGAAGAATTACAGAGACAAAATTGAAATGTCTGAAAAAGATTCCGTGATTTACTGAACACTGAAGAGTGGTAAATTCTGAAGATTTTTGATTGTCAGGAATTGATGTCAATCTTGGCTGACACGAAGTTCCCGGTGGCGAAACATATTGTTGGCGATCCGGGAGAAAACGTGTCATTCCAGAGCAACATCAGTACTTTGTCATATACACACGGTTTGCACAGACACACATTTCTAAATAAACCTTACCTATAAGCAACTACTAACTTAATATTGAATATAGGCATAGTTATATTCAAAGACATTTCAAGAGTAATACAGAAGTACAATATCATATCTGAATGAAGCCAAAACACAATTTTCAACTTTAAGTTCCTGCAAGAAAGGAGGGCCACAGAATCCATAGCCAGCTGTCAATCAACCAAACAGCTGCATTATGGGTTCCGTTACCATCCAGACTGCTGTGGCCATTTTCACTGACACACCATGCATAAACACATCCAGCAATACTTCGTCATTCAACCTAATTACATTCATCATGTGTTCCTTAATGCAAGTGAAAATGTAATAAGATTGAAACATTTTTTACCACAAACAAGTTTGATGTTTCCGCAAGAGAATTAAACTTGTTTATTTATCTTGCTTCATCTGTAGACTTGTATCTTGAAAAACCTGTTCCATATCAGAGAAAGAGTGGGCAGAGAGAGGGAGGGAGAGAGAAGGAGAAGGGGGGGTTATGCAAGTTAGATGAAGACAAGATGAAAAGAGAGGATATAAAATGAACTAAATTAAGTCACATGAAGTCAAACATAAAGAGGAACTAGGTTGAAATATGAAGCTTCATTTTAGAAATAACAACCTTGATGGCACCTTATAAATATTTAAGTGAATTCTAGTTGAAGTGATCTCTTCTCTACTGTCTTTCCGTCTTTTACGAGAAGATTTCCTTATATTTCCAAAACACAGTGGAATGAGTCAGGGAGAAAAATGAGTCAAATGATTAAGAGACAGTTTGTATCAATGCACATTTACATGCGTATTTTTCCATTTCAGTGGGATCAACTTAGCAAAAGAGAAGATAAGTTAGCAAATGAAAGAAACAAGAGGAGGAAAGGTGAAGGGAAATGAAAGAAAACAATTTGTCACAATGATGAACAACAAGTGATTAAGACACATTGAACATAAGATAAAAATAGACAGGTATGAAAGAGACGAGATTAATAATTCTGTGTTACCTGCTTCTGTCATTCCTCCTCTTTCTTGTGCGCACTCCCTTCTCTCTCTCTCCGCTCCCTGGCTTGTGCGAGTTTGTCAAAGATCGTTTGCGTATTTATGCCTCCTGACTTCCTCCTCAGAAATCTGAGGAACATTTTCACTTTCACTTCTTCACTAGGCTACCCACAACCTCCCCCTCCAAACATCTATGTCTTTCCCTTCTCTTTTCTCTTCTTATAATTCCTGTCATCTCTCTCTTTTGATTTATACATTTTTCTCTGTTAATCTTTAAACTTTATAAAAATATATTATGGCTGATTAACTAATTTCATTGTAGGTGTAATGCATTTATGTATTATATATATATATATATATATATAGACTTCTAAATATAAATCTATATGAGAACTAGATATGTGATTTTTCTAATATTTTAAAAATGTTTCAGTTTTCTCAGAAAGCAAAAAAGACAATACTGCTGCACACATTAATATACAACTGTCAGTCATTTTTTGCTGTGTATAAAAGCGTTAAGAGATCTGGGCCCAGCTGGGATGTGCTTCCTAACGGGCCAATATCATATTTCATTTATGAGGAGCCACCTGGTGCTCTCAACCCAACCTGTCCAGGTGCGGGTCCATTAGTGAGCATGTGTGAACGCCTGTTTGGAAAGTCCGGTAGTTTTGGAGGTGAAGGCTGGTTCCCTTGAGACGCGCTTGCAAAATGAGGAATAGTGTACCAATGTCAATGTCTAGCAGCCACTTACCCACACACCCACAGATTCAGGATTTGAAAATCAATTTATTATGACAAAAAAACAAAACATGCAAGTCAAAACTATGTTATAATTTACATGTCACAGGCAGATTTCTATGAAGGTATTCACATGCACACACCTAAATTGAAGTGTCAGTTCTCTTTTTATATCAAACTTAACATAAATCCCATTAAAATAAAACACTTCCTGTTTCACACAGATTTAACTGCACTCATTCATCCGGTTTTCTTCTCAGGACTGTAAATGTGGACTGTTGTTTGCTTATAATGATGCATATGCAGGTATTTTTGTATTTTATGAAACAAGACAAGAGTCAAGACAAATATTCGTGGCAAAAAATGTATATTTTTAAACAAAACTTGTCAAATGATTACAATCAAAAACAATTTTTGACATGTAAGGCATCCGATACATACAGCAGACGGCATGTTCTTCCCACAACCACACGTTCACGCACACTGGCATATGCTCAGACATTTACACACGGGTTCTCTCCTCACTAAGAGGAAAGGCGGCTGGGAAGACGAGAAAGAGGAAGCTGAGGTTCTCGGTGTGTTCGGGTGCCTGAATGTGCAAAAGCACGTGTGGAAGTTCATTAATGAGGGTTTATGTGCATTTGGCTGTGCATGTACTGGCATCTGTAGTGTCTTTAAAACAGGCGCTTCTCATAGCTGAAAGAACAAAACAAAAAAAAGTCAATTTATTTATTTTTTTTATTAAAAAAAATAAAAACGTACACTATATCATTCAAAAGTTTGGTGTCGGAAAGATTTTTTTTATGTTTTTGAAAGAAGTCTCTTATTCTCACCAAAAATGCATGTAAAGACAATATTGTGAAATGTTACTGCAATTAAAAATAACTTTCCATTTTAATATATTGTCATTTAAACGTCAAAGCAAAATTTTCTGCATTATTACTCCAGTCTTCAGTGTCCACATGATCCTTCAGAAATCATTCTAATATGCTGATTTGGTTCACAAGAAACAGTTATTATTTTTATTTGTGTTGAAAACGGTTTTTCTGCTTAATATTTGTGTATACCTTGATAAACCTTCTATCAGAATTCTTTGATGAATAGAAAATTCAAAAGAGCAGCATTTATATCAAATAGAAGTCTTTTGTAACATAATAGATGTATTTTCTATCACTTTTGAATAAAAACTTTGAACGGTAATGTACAATATCTTCAGACTAAGAGTATGAATGTTCAACTACCTGTGTAGGCTGTGCACTCCACCCTCCATTTGAGCTGACATTGTCCTCTTTTCAAACCTCAGTTCACCAGAATACATCATTGCCCTGAGATAGATGTAGAAAGAAAGAGAGAAAAGGGGCAAAAAGAGACAATGAAAAATAGTCTGTAATGGAACTCAAACATGCGAGTGTCTGTTTTAGCACTGCATTATTGTGTTAAAAGTGCAGTGTATAATTTCTGTGCCACTAGTGTAATCAAACAGAATTGCAAAAATAAGAAATAATTGGTTTGGAAAAAAAAAAAAAAAAACTTTTTACAATTTAGTTTGGCATCACTAGTGGCACAGAAATGATACACTGCACCTATAAGTGCATATAATTGCAGGTATGCGAGTAATTAGTGCGTTTGCATGTACCTCAGCTGTGTGAGGCTCTTAGCACCGATGTCTTGGCAGGAATGCTGTATGCCAACGAGGAGATATGGAACAAACTTATGGATGGAGCCTTTATCCTGAACTGCCCCTGAAACTCCCTGAGCTACTTTAATTTTATCACTCTCACTGAAAGAGAGAGAGAAAGAGAAGACAGAAGGGTTGAGAGAGTGAATTTGGTTTATTTACATTCTGTAGGCTTTTCGGTCTTCTAAATAATAGTTGTTTTACTTGGCTTTTATAAGCGTTAAATATGTTTTATCCAAACCTCAAGATCAGGCTAATTATCATCATGCATTAGTCTGTATAAGCAGCTGTGAAACTGTAGTCAGCTTGAGGCAAAGCAGTTTAAAAAAACATGGGGTAAACTGTAATTAGTGGGTAATAATAAACAAAGCACTGTGTTTGGGAGACAATATATTCTATATATGTGCTACCTGAAGTATCTGCTCTGTGAGCCAAGGTTCTTGTCCATGGCATCCAGTGAGCCCATCCCTCTGTACTTCTTCAGACGGATCCCATCCGAGAAGAAATATTCACCAGGAGCTTCAGATGTGGCAGCGAGCAATGACCCCATCATTACTGAGGGAGAAACCAAAAGCAGAAGAGAATTTAGTTTCAATTATGATATTAGTCTAATACTTAAAGGGATACTTCAGGATTTAGCATTAAGCTTTGTATTAGTAGAAAACCTGTAGTATTTTCAAATTACCGTGCTTTCTACCCTCATATCCCCCTGAGACGAGAGATTTATGTATTTTTTGTCTGGAAAAAATCCTCCGATGGCGCAAAAATCGTCATTTCGCGTCATCGGAGGATTTTTTGGCCAGAGGCTAAAGACTACAGTCAGTACAGTAGGGGCTGTCCCGCATGTTCTCAACCCGCCCATAGAGGGTGGGATCTCACTCACAGAATGTACACATAGTGTCATCCATCTTTTTTTGGAAGCTAAGCTAGCAGGCTCTTGTTCTGTGGAGAAAGCTGAGTAGTAGGGGTTACCATCCTCTTTTTCCAGGACATGTCCGGCCGTCGAGATCGTACAAAATGTCCGTGATTCAGCTTTTGCTTTCTGCAGTCGCCATTCATTGTTTACATGCACACCTTTTGTTTCAATCTAAATGAATTCATTCCGATTGGTGAATCTGAATGTAGTGTTTACATGAACGCTAAAGAAGTGATCGGTTGATGTGCGTTTTAACATTGCTAAGAAAATTCCCGCTCCTCCGTGAGAGATACGAGACCGGTGCGTCTCACAGGTGTCTCTCATCAGTAATCACCCCCTCGGCCTCGTCCTGCTCGCCACAGTAAACATAATGAATGGCGACTGTAGAACGCAAAAGCCGAATCCCGGACATTTTGGGCGATCTCGAAATCCCGGGCAGACTCATCACGGAGACTCACTAGTAGCCTAGACTTGTTGTTTAACTACTGCGCTCTGTTACCGGTAGGCATGGCCTGCTAGGACAGCGAAGCAAGTGCATTCTGGGAGTTGTTGTCTTTCATACATCCACATAAGCCAAAAATACATTTTCTGGCTTTTCTCAGTCTAGAAAGCTCCAAATTCAAAAATAATTTCACATTTCTTCTACATAAATGACCCATTTTAAATACACATTCATCTTTCCAGAGGTGAAGTATCCCTTTAAGATATAATTATCATTTTATTAAAAAATAAAACATAATCAATAATAATAATAATGGTGAAATATTATAATTAGCTGGTGTTATCGTTGACAAACTATTTTTTTTAAAATTGGTAATTAAAATAAAGATGAAATAAAATAAAACGGGTATTAGATGAAAATTATTTAATGAAAATTAGAAATCTTATCTTGCTTTAACCAACTGAAATAAGTTAAAGTACTGAAATTACTAAAACATAAAAAAATCTAAATATTAAAAAACCCCGCAAAAATGACGAGCACTTAAACAAAACGACTAAAACAAAGTGAAATTAAAATAAACTGAAAATGAATAAAAGCTCAAATCTAAATATTAATAAATACTGTAATAGTATATAAATAAAACAAAAAATACCACCATCATTTTTTTTTATTATAATAATTATACTAAACAACAAGCCACATTTTAAATCTTATAATCTACTGCAGTGATTGCAAGTTAATCTATATGTAACCCACATCTCACCTGTAGATGCTCCTAATGCAAGTGCTTTAGCAATGTGACCGACTGTCTGAATCCCCCCATCTGCAATGACGGGCACGCCAAACCGCCGAGCATATTCTGATACCTTATACACGGCTGTTGCCTGTGGCCTCCCGCATGCCAGCACTGTGAGGACAACAAGAAATAGAGACCTGGTTATACTTGACCCTTACTTACAAATGACCATTACTATCAACTTACTTTACACTTGCATATTCTACAAATACTAAGTGTGCAGATTAGGACAATAATATGCATTAATATTCTTCACTAACTGCTGTTCTGTCACAGACATCCATACTCTCTCTCACACACGTACAAACAGACAGACTGTCACGATCAGTGAACTTTACTCGTTCAGTCATGTGACTTCAGTCAGTGACAATCAACGTTACGAAGACGGTATTACATGTGAATTTACAATTAGGCCAAAGCAAAAATGAAAAAAAAAATTCAGAGTTCAAAGACAAGGTTATCGTTAGACGAAATATGTGGATTTCTAAAAGTGGAATTTTAGATGTGAGATTTTCTATCAATTGTGAGATTAAGGAGAGGAGAAAAAGGGGTGCACATTAGCAAACCAGAACGTCTTGTTTTGACAAACAAGAACGTCCGAGAGCCTAAATGGAAAGGACAGACCAAAGGAAAATGATTTGAGTTTTTCTCTTAAAATCAACTAAATATTTTGTTCAACTACCATATCTGTGTGTGTGATCTTATGCAGGAACGCTACAAAACCGATAAAACAGCAGCGGTGAGCATGTTATATGCACACACACCTGTCAAACCCACATAATTATCACTGTTGACAGAGTAAGGTCCAAAAGTCTGAGACCACTAGTGCAAACACTACTATTTTGATTAATGCAACTGTACTCATTAAACATTATATTAATTAATTAGCATAACAATTAGTGAAAAGTTGCATGCGAGATGCATGGAGATCCATGCTCTCCTCCTCCCATCCTATTCAACAGAACTGATGCCTGGTTGCCAAGGGAGTTTTTGGCAATTTTGTAGTTTTATTTTAGACACAGTATGAGAGGAGCACAGAGAAATGAGTCATCCATTTACCCATAACACACTTTCTATAGTCACACCATCTACACTGCATACTGTAAAATGAAAAAAAATAAAATAAAAAAGTGTGACTGAAATTAGCAAAAACTATACTGAACTATAAAACAAAGACCTTTGCTGCAGTGACACTTATGACTGCAAAACACTCAGCTTTGTTAACAAGTGCACTTTATACGCTCCAGTGCTCTTTCAGAAGCTCTAAAAGGTATTTGGACACTTTTGCCATACTTTCAGCATTTATATTATACATATAAAACATTGAAGCAAGTGACATAGAAACAAACACTGCTATGGCTTTTCTCAGAACTAATTTTACTTTTTGTGCCAAATTGATAATGGCTTTTAATCAGCGAGTCCAAAAGGGATTTTTTAGCAGATGTATAAAGTCAGTTCCCATCACATTAACTATGAAGATGATACACTGATGTTTGAAGAAAATGACCAAATGTTCATTGTTGTTATTTTCAACAGCATATTTGGTACTTTTTGCAAAATGTTGATGAATATAAATATGATGACACTCATACATCTTTAAGTTTGACTTACATGTCCAATTACTTTTCCGGGCCACTGCACAAGCTAGTACACATTTGTTAGTGAGGGATTCTGGGTAACAGACTAAGATCAGAGGAAGTGCCAAACGCCATTACTGACAGGTTAGTCAGACAATGACAAGCATCCAAAACCCCAAAAACCAGCAACTACTTCTAATGATGCAGAGGATTTAACCAATCAATGCAGCAGGCTGTGGGAGAGGGCAGGCAGAGTGAGGTAGTGAGCCAATGGGGTCTCTGTATGGGGATCAGGGGGAGGGACTTACTGGAATATCCCGTAACAGTAGTTGGGCTTTTGGGGCTGTGGAGCTTTAAACCAGGAGGAACACTGAGAGGAGCTAGAGACATAATTATAGAAAGGGAGATAGAGACTGAGAAAGAGAGCACACTGTAGCTCTGTTTTAAAACCTAGTGAGCTGCCTCACTCCCTTCATATGCAGCTTCCTTCTTAGGAAGCATTCTTACTAATTGTTATGGAACCTCGTAAGGGATTGATTTGGAATGCATTACAAAGGCTGCAACTCTGCATGCCACACAGCTAGCGCTTCACAGGAGACTCGACTAGCAATTGATTTCAATAGATTTTGATTAGCATGTTGTTAAGATAACAGCATGATACAATAAAATATATTAAAAAACATTTTATAAAAATGTATGGTAAGATAATACATTCGAATTACCATGAATCAGTTTTACAGTATTAAGCAATAATTAATAAAATAAGTTTATTTATAATTAACTTGTCTCTTGCTTTGTCAGCAATCTTAGATTTGTTCTCAATGCATTATGGAGCTAGCCTGGGAAAACCCAGACAACTTCTGGCAAATTTATATTTGCTCTGAAAGTTAGTCTGGCAAAGAGCTCATTCAAGCCCATTTCCAATCCGTCAAAATCGAGGAACCAATCAGAAACGTTGGGGCGGGCTTTACACGATGACGACAGTGCTGGGATTTTGAAGCAGATTTTGTAGCCTACATTACAAAGATGGATGCCGCCGTCGAACATCACTCGTTCAAATCAGCTATCGCGTCTGTTTTAACCGATTTGAACGTTTCCTATTTGTTAAAAACCGAGCAAAGAACAACACTCGGAGATGTTTCTCCGCCGCTCTGCATACGTCATCTCCTTCATCGCTCTGATTGGTTTTAGGTCTATCCGCGACGTCCGTTGGTGACGCCCCTCTGGAAATGATTTGTCTATGACGCTTTGCCAGACCATAACTCAGTTGCAACTGAGAATGGTCTGGTTTTAACCAGGCTATTATGGAGCTGCAATATCCACAAAATACACTACTGTTCAAAAGTTTGGGGTTGGTAAGATTTTTTTTAAAAAAAAATTAATTAAGTCATCTATGCTCACCAAGGCTACATTTATTTGATTTAAATAAAATAGTGAAATTCTATATTATAATTTTCTATTTTAAAATGTAATTTATTCCTGTTATGGCAAAGCTGAATTTTCAGCATCTCCAGTCTTCAGTGTCACATGATCCTTCAGAAATCATTTAATATGCTGATTTGCTGCTAAAGAAACATTTCTTATTTTTTATCCATATTAAAAACAGTTGTGCTTCTTAATATTTTTGTGGAAACCATGGTACTTTTTTTCCAGGATTCTTTGATAAACAAAGTTCAAAAGAACAGCCTTTATTTAAAATATAAAACTTTTGTAATATTATCTTTACTGTTACTTTTGATAATGCATCATTGCTGAATAAAAGTATTTATTTATTTATTAAAACAAAGAAAAAAAAGAAAATCTTACTGACCCCAGACTTTTAAACAGTAGTGTACCTCAGAAGGCAGCATAATTATATACCCTACCTTCTGGAACAGTCTTTGCTAAGGTTTGGAACAGAGCTGATAAAAAAGGGGGACTGATGCAAAAAAAAGAACAAAAAAAGCTAAATTATGCCATAGACAGTCGAAAAACTGAGAAAAGCAAGGAAGAGCCTTCAGTACCTCCATCATTCAAAGCGACAGAGAATATACAAACAGTAAATGGACACTTATATAGACATACATATTCTCTCTTAAAAAAAAAACACAAGATATGCAGTAACAAATTTAAACTTTTCTCCACAGATTCTAAAACCCCAGAAAAAAGTTGGGAAAAGACAGGAGATGGGGGCAGTGCAGACTGTCTGCCAATAAATCTGCACAATTACCTCACAGACCAAGCCAAATGCAGGGATATTTGGGAAATGGACTACTCTAACAATGTTAAAAGAGGACCAGAGGAGGCACTGGACATTAGGTGCTCCCTCTGGAGAAACTGATTGTGGAAACACAGCCTGTGATTGGCTGAGGGGCAGGCAGCCAGGTGTGCGATTGGTGGACTGACCTTCTTGTGTGATGCAGATGGAGCCGCTGCCCATTCCCACTCTCAAAGCATCCGCTCCAGCGTCAATCAAATTCTTCGCCTGAGCCGCAGTCACCACTACAACAGAGAGACAACTCAGTATGTTAACTGTGTGTTTGTAGATGTCATGTTCAAAAAGTGTGTGTTTAAAACTAACCATTGCCACCAATGACTTGTAGGCTGGGATATTTCTCTTTTATATACTTAATCATATTAATCTGAAAGATGGAATTTCCTTGGGAAGAGTCCTAAAGCAATGAGAGAGGAAAAAAAGGTAACCAAATAGGACAAAAATAAACCATCTTTATTCATTGATACACGGAGAAGCATAAGGGCCGTTACATAGTCAACGCGAGCAACGCGAGCAAGCAACGCGAGCGACGCGAGCTACGCGCTACTTTTCATAGTACACAAGCGTCACCGGCGATGCGTGAAATGCAATACACCGATCGCGCAGCAGGGGGTAGTAGAGTCTAGAGTCGGGTCACGTAATATTCAGATCAAAATGGCAACTGAAGCGGAGTGCATATTGCTGATTTTACATCGGCGGCAACAAAGGATGTATACGAACAAGCTCGCATAAATGTTCCTCTTCGCCCGCCATTGTATTCAAATCTTCTTCTTCTGTAAACATAATAATATACCTTTTTATGTACATTACTTGCAATGTCGCCCCCACCGACAACGCATAGTATTGCGTGCATCGGCGCGTCGCGTATCAAAAACTAGGATGACACATTTGGCTACGCATCGACGCATAATGGCGGCCGAAGCGTAGCGATGTGTAGCCTTGCGCACGCGTATGCGTATCGATGCGTTGACTATGTAAGGGCCCTTAAGGCCAATTTATACTTCTGCGTCGAGTGTACGCCGTAGTGTACGGCGTGGGCTACGCACGTAGGCGACGCCGTCATGAGCATTTATACTTCTGCGTTTAGGTCTGCGTTGCTCTGCAGTACAGCGCCGAAACGCTAGTTGGCGGCGGAGGGTTTTAATGTTCCACTGTGTTTAGATTCCTCGCGGCAAGAAGAAGAAGATTCCTCGCGGCTGTTTTGAGTTTAGGTTACTACAAGCAATGGCGACTGAAAGAGAGCAGATCATGTTGGAGTTGGAGCTTATCGAGGTGGAAAAGGTAAATTTTTAGTTTTTTTTAACAGTTTCGCTGTACTTAGAATTTAAAAATGGCGGGCGGTGCAGAAGAACACGCCGGAAATGCATAGGAGGAAACGCGATGCTACCAAGCCGACCAATCACAGATCTTGCGGTCCGCGTCGTCGCGACGTGTAGTTACATTTTTGAGGAGGTGCGCGTCAGGTTACGGCGAAGGGTACGGCGTATGGTACGCGTCTGTGCGTATGCTACGCCGTACCTACTGCGCGCACCCGACGCAGAAGTATAAATTGGCCTTTAAGCCCAAAAAAGGCCTCACCAGGACGACCACATCTACGCCAGCCTGCACTAGCAGGTCGAGTCTGTATTTGTCATCATTGTGTGTTCCGATAGCAGCGCCACAAAGCAGCTGTTTACGAGAATCCTTTGAGGCCAGCGGGAAATCTCTGTTCTTCTTCAGATCTGTCCGAGCGATGATGGCCACCAAACAGCCCTCCTCATTTACTATAGGAAGCTTGCCTATAGAAAACAAACACTGAGTGTAAGAATTTCACATCGGAAAATTATCTTGCAATTATAAAAATTGCAGTTGAGTATTTTTATGGCTAAAATCATTTTAAAAATGGGTAAATAAACAAATTAATTAACCTTTAAAAGTAGACAATAGATAGATAAACACGAAAAAAAATTACACAGGTAAAATTGTATTATTTTTAAAAGATATTATAAATGCACTTGAGAATAAAAATACTAGAAGTTTTCCTATTGACACTTTACTAAATGCGGCGATTTAAAAATAATAATTAAATTGACAGTAAAGACATTCATAATGTTACAAAAGTTTTTTATTTGAAATAAATGTTGTTTTTGGACTTTATTCCACCAAAGAATCCTGAAAAAAATGATCATAGTTTACACAAACATTTTAATCCGCACAACTATTTTCGAAATTGATAGTAATAAAAAATGCTTCTTGAGCACCAAATCGGCATATTAAAATGAATCCCGAAGGATCATGTGACACAGAAGACTGATGTAATGATGCTGAATTTTCAGCTTTACATCACAGAAATAAATTACATTTTAAAAAGTAAATAACATATTAAACAGTTATTTTAAATTGTAATAATTTTTCATAATATTATCTCTTGAAATATTACCCTTTTTTTTTTTTTTTTTATAAAATAAACGCAGACATTAAAATGCAGGTTAATTGACTTGTTAAAAAAAATGTACAAAATAAAATCTTACCAATCCTAACCTTTTGAACAGTAGTATATGTTGCATGCAGCCAGAAAAAAAAAAAATGCAAAGTGATTGTCTTGCAGTTATTTTGTGGCACACCACTGCTAAGATAGATGGATAGATTGTTTTATTTAATGCTATGTCAGCATCTAAGGCTATTTTCATGGCAAAACTGTAATTACAAAAATACAAATATCATATAAATACAATAAAACCAAACAAACAAACACAACAAGTCATAATATACCATATATTTTTTAAATTCACATATGATAAAAAATCCAAAACCTTTTTAGGCATAATCTTACTAAATAAGTCCTTAAAGACCCACTCCGATGAAAATAATGTTTTTCTAGGTGTTAACATGTTCTTGTGGCATTTTTCTGATGTTAGAGGACATATCTTGAGAAAAATCAGCTCAAAGTTGTATTTCTGAGTATTTCTACATTCAAATGGCTGTGAATCAGTAGCAGGCGCTAAAATGCCGGCTAAAATCGACTGGAGTTGTGACGTAGTAACTCCACTGGGCGTCTCCACACGCGACGTCTTGGAGTGAAATAATGATCGGTGATCGGTGATAACCTTGATTAACTTCGGATAATAATAATTAACGTGTATATAATACTGTTGCCCCACCGGTATTGGGGATGTAAGCTAGCGGGAGAGACAGAGCTCTCAGCAACGGGCAGGGGGAGGGTCATCTCCGTGCCAACGGCTCCGCCCACAACGCAGAGGCGAATTGCTAATGAGCTACTGCCGCTCTGCTGAAGCGAAGTCCCAGAAAACGGCACAGGTTTTGTGATTTTGGCTAAAAATGGCATAATCATAATTTAAAGACCACTGGGAATGTTTAAAAATAGCTCAAAATATGATCGGAGTGGGACTTTAAGTGAAATAACTTCATAAAAGAGCATTCTACTTGTAGTAAACCCAGGACAGTCCAATAAAATATGTTTAACAGAGAGGGGAATCTTACAAAACATGCATAGAGTTGTGTCTTCACCTTTAAGCAAAAAAGCATGAGTCAAACTTGTATGACCACTTGATCAGATCTAGTTTTAAGAGTCCACTGCCAAGAAGTGGTGCATGAAACACTGCTATATAGGTTAATAAATAGTTAACATTCATGTGAATGTTTTATTTGGTTCAAGGATTACTCCAAAACTGTCCTCAGCAATAAGAGGGTGAAGAAAGAAAAAAGGGCAAGGAGTTCTCATAAACGCTTAAAGTCTACCCCACCTTTCTTGCTCCTCTGGAGGATTTCATTGGCCTCTTTCAGTGTCACTCCTGCTGGAGCTACAACCAGATCATCCCTCTTAGTCATCACCTAAGTGACAGAAAGATAAGGTGAGTTGAGTTCAGTAAAACTGCTTAGCCCTCGCCCTCTGTGTTAAGTCCCACCCACCTCACTGAGGGGCAGGTCATGCTCCGACTCTTTGAGGAAGTCGATATCTCGTGATGAAATGATGCCGACCAGACGTCCACCCATCTGTCCATTGTCGGTGATTGGAATCCCACAGAATCCGTGTCGCGCCTTAGCCTGAAAGACGTCTCTTACCCGCTCATTAGGACTCATCACCACTGGATCTGTAATGAAACCCTGTTCGTACCTCTAAGCGGGGGCAAAGTGGAGGAAAAGGGAGGGAGAAAAGTCGAGTAGAGGAGTAAAAAAGGATGTTCTATTAGGCATTTCTACTTGGGTGTCACATCAATACATTTCACATAAAACAGAATTAGGTGTGGATTTCTTATTCAGAAGGACAAGACAACTGTAGGGTAGAGGTCAGAAGAAAAACAAATATTACAAATCAGTAGAGAAGAGAAAAAGAGTATACAAACATAAAAAGACAAAGACATAAGGATGTAAAGACTCACCTTGACCTTGCGAACTTCGTTAGCCTGGAACTCTGGAGTGCAGTTATGATGAATGAAGCCAATCCCACCAGTCAGCTGTGACAACACAACATTAGGCCTTAGAACATAATGCTACATGCATAAAAGATCATTCTTTGTAAATTTAAGTTCGAAGACTTTTTTGATGAATTCCCTATTGAGGGATGAGATGTACCAAAGGGTCTTATTTTTACTTATTTAATTTTTTTTTAAAAAGCCATTAGTTTATTCATGCCCAGCAAAAACCATTAATTTGCTATTGCTAATCAGTGGCATGTGGTTTTGGGGAGACTGGACATAAGACATAAGTCTTTTTTATCAATCAATATTTTGCTCCCCTTTCCTGGAAGAGAAAGACTGTAAAATGTTTATGGCTGCTAAAGTGATTTTTTAATCATCTTTTAGGACTAAATTTGGTCCAAAAGCTAACAGACATAAATTTACAAGGCACAAAACTCATGTCTTAATTCATGGGTCTTTAATTAATTTTATGGATATCAAAATATGAGGCCGCATGTTTGCAAATTAACTGTTCAGGTTCTTTTGTAATGGTATGTACACACTACACACATATAGACATTAGTGCTTATTCAAATGTCTATGCAGTAAGACCACTTTAAGTTTATGTGATGAATTTTGTCAATCATCCTCTTACCGCCATAGCAATGGCCATGTCAGACTCTGTGACAGTGTCCATTGGCGACGAGACCAGTGGGGTTTTCATTGTGATCTGTTTGGTCAGCGCTGATGTCAGGTCCTACAAGGAGAGCCAAACTAAATTAAACCACATCATCCATCCAGAAGAGAAAGCATTATATAGAGGAGATTGTTTAACTTACCACCTGGTCAGCTGTGAAGTCAATGTACCCTGGCAGAATCAGGAAATCACTAAAAAAGAGAACAGAGAAAAGGGGCGTAAGGGTGTGAAAATGTGAGTGATGGTGATTAACTAATTTGAAGCTTCGTGATTTTTAACACATAATGCATCACTATTAATTGACAGATTTAACAGAAAAAAAGGTGAGAATTAACACCGTCTATAGACAATCAGAAAACATTTTGACAAACTATTACAGGGTTGTTTGGAAAACCTATTTAGAAACAGTGCAATTCAAGAAACACTAACATTATATATTTGCAAGTTTATTCTTGAAATTCGGCAGAATTTGGAGTTTAATAATGATTCAGGGAGTTGTTGACTCGAGAACCGCTCTAACCGATTTGGTCCAATTCGCCAAAATTCAACTCTTTCAGCGCTCTAATCTCGTATACACTGATACATACACAACACGTTGATTATGTTCCAAAGAGTCTTTTTATCCATGTCACACACCATGCTGTTTACTAGTGTCAAGTAACGCCCCGTTTTATGATAAAACGGAGTAGGCTACGTCAATGCTGCAATCTTATGTCCAACGTAAACACAGTTCCTTGGCGTACAATTCTTATGTTAGATGGTAAACAGAAAGGCCGGCGTTTCAGCTTTAACTCGGAGACGTTAAATGCTTTACATGGCACCAGAGAATTCGTAGGGAAAACAACCACAACATACTTCACAAAGTTCAACCTATTTATAGCACATTTGGAAGAAAAGGAAAAGCTGCTTGAGTTGTCATGGTTTAAGAATAGAATGACTCTGCTTGTTTGAACTTGGCATTATGGAATGGCAGCAGCGGATCTCAGAGCTGAATCACCCACAGTTCATCAGTACTTCCGAGTTCCGACATGACTTGATATCTTTTGTGAATCCACATGGCAAAGGTGGCACCGCACTGACATGCCTTCCACGGTTATGTTTATGCAGTACTGACCTACGTGAAATGGAATTGCATAATAGATGAATGACAGTGTGCTATCACAATATAACATGCTGGATACTAAACCACATAAACAAGGACCGACAACGACACCTACAGCAGCTCATTTTAGCTCTGTTTTAAACGAAGCTGCATACTGAGAGAGCACATCTGCAGCGCTGACTGGCAAGCCTGTTTAATGTTTAATAGCAAGCATATGGAGAATGCACAAGTGGGAATGAGGCACAACTTGAGGGGTATTTACTTGTAGGTAAGTCCGTCTCCGCAGTTGAAGAGCTGCTGTCCAGTTAGACCGTCGTCAGGCACGTAGCCCGTCTGTCCGCTGATTAAATAGTCCGCCATAGTGGATGAAAAGCGTCAAAGTCCAAATTCTCACGAAAGTTTTTCAAGACAGTGAGTGAGTTCTGTTCTTCTCTTAGCTTCAATCCGACACGGTCTTCAAAGCCCTTAATGACATTAAATATCGCAAAAAGCACAGGTTTTTAATAAAGAGACCGGTCTGAATAAAAAAAGACCCCAGTGTACTCTTGTTTTTGGGACTGAAGCTGCCCCGTAGTGCCCACAAGCATCACACGTGTCTGTGTGGAGGACGTCCTCGTCTTCCGCAGATATAAATGAGGTGTCTTCGAACGTCACTTCCGGGCTGTAGCAGGGGGGCGTTTATTCACTAAAACAGGTTTAATTTTCCTGTTATACGAGGGTCGGAGGGTGGGCTCTCGTTATGTCGCGCGCATGTGTGCACAGCACGAGGGGGACTTCGATTTAATTTTATCTCGCCACTCTGCTCTGCTGCTGACTTTATTTGGCATGAGTGAACTGACCTGCATATGCAGGCCCGGGAGCGCGCGATGACACCTAATGCCCCTCGAGTCTAGAGCACGCAAACACCATGCATTTAAAGGTTATTTTTACTGTGAAATAGTTTTTTTTTTTTTTTTTACATTTACTTATATTTATCTCATTGGAACATTTAAGTCATAACAGTCAATCTTCACTGGTTGATAGTAAAATTAAACATATTTTGTATAAATTTCTGACCTTGTCCTTTTATTCACCTTGTATTTTAATAAGATTTTTTTTCTCTAACAGAAATTTTGACTTTGCATCTGTTCCTTGTTCTGTATGTTTGGCTTTTGATGAAAAAATTGATGAATTAATGTGCCCAGAGATGAGCTAAATCATGAAGTGGTTCATAAAACACTATTGTGTTTATTCACTTCTATAAAAACCAAACGTTGTATTTCATGGTCATGGTTTGCCTATAGTAATAATTATCTTGTAAGAACAGTGCAAGTATTCAGTTTGTGCCAATGTGCCACCTCCAATCCTGTCTAAAAAATATAGCATAAAATAAATAAAAGATGTACTCAAATATGGCAGCTCTGACATTCTGGTGTCAGAGGCAACTCGTGTTGAAAAAGTCTGTGGTTACATGCATATGCCATTTCAAATGCACATTCTACATTTACTCAATATACTATTACTATACTAATAGGGCTCCATCACTGTGTCTCCTCTCCGATAAGCTGGTGTAGGAGGGCGTTCTGGCACACTATGGCTGCCGTGGCATCATCCAGAAGGATGCTGCACATTGGTGGTGGCTGAGGAGATTCCCCACTTCCATATGTAAAGCACTTTGAGTACCCAGAAAAGCGCTATATAAATGTAACAAATGATTATTACCGTTGAAAAGTCTGGGATCAATGATAAAAAAAAATACTTTAATTTAGCAAGGATTCATTAAATTAATCAGAAATGCCAGTAAAGACATTTGATGTTATAAAAGATTTCTATTTCAAATAAATGTTTAACTTTATATAAAAAAAAATCCTGAAAAAGATTGATCATATAATCAGTTCCCAAAACACATTTAGCAGCACAACCATTTCAATTGTGGTACAATTTATTAAATTAATATTATTAATAACAAAATAATAAATTAAATCATTTAATAATAATAAAAAATCTTCAGTGAGCTGATCCTACCAAATCAGCATATTGGAATGATTTCTGAAAGATCATGTGACACTGAAGACTGGAGTAATGACGCTGAAAATTCAGCTTTGCCATCACAGGAATTACTTATATTTTAAAATATATATAAATAAATTATTTAAAAATATATTAAAATAGAAAAGTTATTTTAAATTGTAATACTATCACAATATTACACTTTTTGCTGTTTTTTTTTTAAATCAAATAAATGTACCCTTTTTTTGTTCTTTCCAAAACTGTAGTGTTGCGCAAATACATTTTTAAAAGTGTGTGTACACAAGAAAACACAAGAGTCACTGTCTGGTTTAAAAACTTTCTCTCAGTAACTATTTCTGTATTAATGTACAACCGTTGAAAATTACAGCATCATTTGTTTTTCATCTTTTTTTTAATTTTCAGATTTTTTTTAAATGATCTAACTATCAACAGCCATTTTCAAAGAAAAAAAAAAAAACACGAGAAGAAAGCAAGAGAGAGAAGAATAGAGGGCAGAAGTTATGGCAGGAGCAATGGAGGAGGAAAAGAAGAGTTAGACCATTTCGGTGGAGTGTTTTGAGTGTGTGTGGGTGCGCATGTGTCGTGTGTGTAATGTCAGCTGAAGTGGGGATGTGAGAATGCAATGTTTGTGAATGCAAATGCTAGGATACAACCGTGCTATTCTCAAACCCTGCAGCCAAGTAAAGATTACAAAGCAAAAAAACAAACAAAAAAACAGGGGCACGGATGAAGGAAAAAAATAAACAAAAAGGGTAAAAATACAGCTTTGAAAAGAGATGCTATAAATGAGAAAAACAGAGATGGACAAAATATTTTGAGACGCAGTGTAGTTTTGACAAAAAAAGTGGAGGGGTATCTTTGGAGAGAAGGGGGCAAGACAGTTGAGAGAGGAGCGAACTTGACGGACTCTCTGGACGGATGTTCAGGTGTCGTGGAAATCCTTCAGCAGCGTCCGTCTCTTCTGCTCAGCAATGTGCATCTGATTTTCCAGATCCTGCAGAGAGAGAGAGAGAGAGAGAGAAAAAAAGAAGAAGAGATGAACTTGTGCTTTTATTTTTTAGTTCCTGTTCACAACTTCCTTCAGTCTTTGTTCCATCTCTCACCCCTCTATCATTAGCACTCGGCTCTCCTCTCTCATAACTGTCTGCTCTCTCCACTTTCCATGACAGGTTCTCGATCTCCGCCTCCAGCTGAGCCTGCTGATACTCAAACTACAGGAAATAAAAATGAGATTTCTCATTACCAAGGACAGATCTTAAAGAGATATTTGATCTTCAATGAGAGACACATTTAACGCAGTTGCTTACCAGTTTTTTGAGGGGTCCAGACTCCATGTAGTAGGCATAAGGATAGGTGTACTGCAGTGTATAACGACACTAAGAGGAAAAAAAAGACAGTGTGTGGAAACACGGACGCTTGTGCATGAACAATTGTGTCTGCAGAATAGGACTGCAAGATTAATCAAAATAAAACCAAAATCACAATACGGCTTAGTGCGACAATCAAAATCGCAAAGGTTTCGCAGAGTGTTTTAGAGTGAAGAGCGGCACTGTGTTCGTTTACATGTGAGCAGCTCATGATCTGTGTTTTCAGTTCAGTTCACAGTAAGTTTAGGTCACTTATAACGTGCATTTGGGAAAGCAACATGTGCCAACCAAACTTGTTATAAATTCAATTTATAACTCAACTCAATTTATATTAAATAGTGAAATATAACAATAATAAAGGTCTATTATATTGTTTAATATTTTTATTTAGTAATAATAATAACCAAATATATCTTATAGTTATATACTGTAGATATCTAACCTTGGCCAGTAGCTTGGCAGCATTCTGCAGGTACTGCCAGTCGATCCAGGTACCCAGATTATTCATGACTCGCTCCTGAATCTTCTCCTGGATCCGCTGGTATGTCTGTGCCTCCAGCTGCATGCTCTTATTGTGGTTCTCCCACTGAACACACACAGACAATGCAAGGATTAATGCTTGCATATAAACATTTAAAGTAATTCAAAACAGCTAAGATGAAGGAATTTCTGTGTCCATTTCTGTGGTGCACATAATAGTTGCTGCCTATATAGTGTTCTGTTTCAAAAAGAAAGCTGCCTGTGCGGGAAACAAGAGAGCTCACTAGATTTTGGAACTGAGCTATTATATCATTGTATTTATATTAGTGCTGTCAAATCAATTAACAAAAGTTAATATATATATATATATATAGTATGTATATTTACACACACATATATATATATATATATATATATATATACACAATATACACTCACCGGCCACTTTATTAGGTACCCCATGCTAGTAACGGGTTGGACCCCCTTTTGCCTTCAGAACTGCCTCAATTCTTCGTGGCATAGATTCAACAAGGTGCTGGAAGCATTCCTCAGGGAGTTTGGTCCATATTGACATGATGGCATCACACAGTTGCCGCAGATTTGTCGGCTGCACATCCATGATGCGAATCTCCCGTTCCACCACATCCCAAAGATGCTCTATTGGGTTGAGATCTGGTGACTGTGGAGGCCATTTTAGTACAGTGAACTCATTGTCATGTTCAAGAAACCAATTTGAAATGATTAGAGCTTTGTGACATGGTGGAAGTAGCCATCAGAGGATGGGTACATGGTGGCCATAAAGGGATGGACATGGTCAGAAACAATGCTCAGGTAGGCCGTGGCATTTAAACGATGCCCAATTGGCACTAAGGGGCCTAAAGTGTGCCAGGAAAACATCCCCCACACCATTACACCACCACCACCAGCCTGCACAGTGGTAACAAGGCATGATGGTTCCATGTTCTCATTCTGTTTACGCCAAATTCTGACTCTAACATCTGAATGTCTCAACAGAAATCGAGACTCATCAGACCAGGCAACATTTTTCCAGTCTTCAACTGTTCAATTTTGGTGAGCTCTTGCAAATTGTAGCCTCTTTTTCCTATTTGTAGTGGAGATGAGTGGTACCCGGTGGAGTCTTCTGCTGTTGTAGCCCATCCGCCTCAAGGTTGTGCGTGTTGTGGCTTCACAAATGCTTTGCTGCATACCTCGGTTGTAACGAGTGGTTATTTCAGTCACTGTTGCCCTTCTATCAGCTCGAACCAGTCTGGCCATTCTCCTCTGACCTCTGGCATCAACAAGGCATTTCCGCCCACAGAACTGCCGCTCACTGGATGTTTTTTCTTTTTCGGACCATTCTCTGTAAACCCTAGAGATGGTTGTGCGTGAAAATCCCAGTAGATTAGCAGTTTCTGAAATACTCAGACCAGCCCTTCTGGCACCAACAATCATGCCACGTTCAAAGTCACTCAAATCACCTTTCTTCCCCATACTGATGCTCGGTTTGAACTGCAGGAGATTGTCTTGACCATGTCTACATGCCTAAATGCACTGAGTTGCCGCCATGTGATTGGCTGCTTAGAAATTAAGTGTTAACGAGCAGTTGGACAGGTGTACCTAATAAAGTGGCCGGTGAGTGTATATATACACACACACATATATATTATATAAACAAAAACTAACTTTTGTTAACTGATTTGACAGCACTAATATAAATACAATGATATAATAGCTCAGTTC